TGTGTGTGCACGCGCGCACACGTGTGCATGTATGTCTTTCTGAGGTACTGGGGATGTAACCCAGGAGAGGTGTCCCCCACAGTCCTTTATATCAGTTCTGTACTTTTAGGCACATGTTTTATGGTTTTGCTTTCTTCTCCCGCCCCTGTACGACCATGCCAGGATGAGAACTGATTCTTTAAGGACTTTTGTTTTGTTTTGTTTTGAGACAGGGTCTCTCGGTGTAACTTTGGAGTCTGTCCTGGCACTTGCGCTGTAGACCAGGCTGGCCTCAAACTTACTGAGATCTGTCAGCCTCTGCCTCCAGAGTGCTGGGATTAAAGGTGTGGGCCACCACCCCTGGCTCTTTAAGGACACTTTGCTGTATCTGTAACTTGCCACTGTCATCTGGAGATCTGCCACTAAACCTGTGTGATCCCAGGGACAGCAGAAAGGCCGGTGACCCAGCTTGTCTGTAAAATCTTGTTTCTTCCTCTTTTGATTTCTTATACAGATGACCCGCCGAGAGATGCTGGAACTTGCTGGACTCTGGCTTGTGTGAATGACTCTCCTGTTTCATGTTTTTATTTCGTTTTTCCAGTAGTAGAGAGACTGCTGGGAACAATCCGAAGCACGTGAAGAGAAAATGAGGAGTTACTAATAAGATTAAATTAAACTTTAGTGGATTTTTTTTTTTTTTTTTTTTGCAGCGTGTGAGGAACAGTAGCAAGCAGCATTGAGATGAGCAGACACAAGCTAAGACCTCGTGGTATTTGCAATCTGTTTAAAGAGGAGCTGAGGAGTAAAAGTACAACGAAATATACACAAGTTCATGCCAAAATATGATAAACTCCATATGAAAGGAAGAGGCAAAGTGTTGTGGGGCTGGAAAGCAGGAGCGTTCCCATATCCCTGGGGAGCTGGGAATGAGATGGGCCATACGAGAGACACTTGTATGTCTTTGCTCTAGGTCAGTGGTTCTTAACCATATCATATATATATATATATATATATATATATATATATATATATGGCATGTTAGATATTTACATTTTGATTCATTTATAGTTATGAAGTAACAATTAAATAATTTTATGGTTGGGGTCACCACAACATGAGGAACCGTTGCAGCATTAGGAAGGTTGAGACCCACTGCCCTAGGCTCTGACACGAAGGTACACAGTTCGCCTTGGTGTCGCCCCTTCTCGAGACTAGTTACATAATTTATAGGGCTCAGTTCTTGGATTAAACCCAGGGCCTAATACATTCTAGGTGTTCTACCATTGAGCTTTATCCCTAACCCAAGGGTCTAGCTCAAAATAAAACTTCAGGATCTATTGTATAAAAATAAAGAACTCCAAGAGAGGTGAGCACAGCATTAATGTATGGGCTATTTCTCAGTGGAGGCTGCTTGCTCTTACTGTGAGATTGACCCATGCTCTGGTCAGGGTTTCTACTGCTGTGATGAAACAGCATGACTGAAAGTAATTTGGGGAGGAAAGTTTAACTTGACTTACATTTCCACAGCACTGTTCACCATCAAAGGAAGTCAGGGCAGGAATTCAAGCAGGGCAGGAACCTGAAGGCAGAAGCTGATGCAGAGGCCATGAAGAGGTGCTGCTTACTGGCTTACTCATCATGGTTTTCCAGGCTGCTCTCTTGTAGGGCCCAGGATCACCAGCCCAGGGATGGCACCACCCAGGTGGGTTGGACCTCTCCCATCAATCATTAAGAAAAATGCCCTACAGTCCAATTGAGGCATTGTCTCAATTGAGGTTCCCTTCTTTTTGATGGCTTTAGCATGTGTCAAGTTGACATAAACTATTCATCACAGCCTACATGAGCTTGACTGGGTCTCTGCTTCCTTGAGTCTTACCTTGGGGCAGCAGGGAGACAGGTCTCATTCTTGCCTCATATATGTAGCACCAGGTCTACCTCCCAGATGAATCAGTGAATGGCTGGAGATAGGGTGAGTTGGTATAATTAAACCTAATCATCTCTCAGGTTGCCTTTATTATGAACTATTATTAGACCATAGTTGTGGATCTGCTCTTTCAGACAGGGCCTCAGTTTTCCAAGTGTTGGTTTCATGGGAGTGAACTGCCCCACTCAGGTCTTCATGGAAGGGATGTCTGAGGTATGTTTTGAGGTAGAAGGTTTTGCTTTCTCTCTGTTTCTCCCAATTGCCACCCTCCTGTCCTTTCCAGATTTTTCTGTTTCTCTTAGACATCCCATTTTATACTTTCCAGTGAGAAATGGGACAGTTGCTGATGCCGCTAAGGGGTGACTTCAAGACTCCAGCATCACTGTAGGTCCCTTGAGTTTATCTCTCACTTCCAGGAATGGCCTTGACTAGACTTCAAATTTCCCTGAACAGAGTCTGGCATTTCATTTTAAAATTATTTTTTATTTGTACTGAACAATTTGATAGATCTTTATAAAGGTAAAAAAATCAGAAAACCAAAAATGAACAAAAGTAATTGTACAATAATTCCAGAGGAAAACTTATGAATGGGGTTTTTCAATCAATTTTCCCATTCAATAATATAAGCATCTTTGAGAGTTGATATGTCAACAGCTGGGCATGGTGGCACATTCTGTAGAGCCTGTCAATCAGAAGGCCAAGGGAGAAAGAGCATTTTATCTCAGGAGTTCAAAGACAGCCAGGGAAAGAAAGAGGGAGATCTGATCGTTGTTGTTTTTACAAAATGATTTGTTTATTTTATGTGTATAGATATCTTTTTCTGCATGTAGGTCCATGTACCACATGTATGCCTGGTGCCGCTGGAGGTCAGAAAAGGGCATTGGATCCACTGTGACTGGAGTTACTCATGGCTGTGAGTCACCATGTGTGTGCTAGAAACTGAACCCAGGTCCTCTGCAAAAGTAGTAAGTGATCTGAACTGCTAAGCCAATCCCCTACCCTTGATATTTTTAATAACCAAAAATACTTCCCCATTTTTCATAGCTACCTGGAACTCTGTCAAATGGTTGTATTGTTATTTTCTTAACCGATCCACCAAAACTGAACATTTGAATTATTATCATTTTTTTCCCTATTCTAAATCCTGATACCTGGATTTGATAGGTAGATAATAGACTCGGTTTCTCTGCCTTTTATTTCCTACCTCCCCAGGTTTGTTGCTTGATGTACCAGTGCACATAAAGCTCTTAGCACAAGTACAGCAGTGCACAGCAGACCAGACAGGCAAATAAATACTGTTCTGTTGTTTTACAGACCGGAGAGCTGTTTGTCCAGACTGTGGTATAAGTTAACAGACAACACAGTTCAGGACAGCAGGTGCTCAGCAAGGACTTGTCACTGTTCCCTGGTCTCAGACCCTTCACAGATGGGGATCCCCTCCCCTGTGCATTCATCAAGGCCTACCCTTACCCTACCACACAGCCCGCTAACTGAGAACATGCTTGGGCTGAAAATTCTTGCCAAAGGCAGCTGCAAAGAATTAGTTGTGCTCAGCCTGAAGGGTGACTATCTTACTATGTTGGAAAGTTTCACATCAACTTGACACAAGCTAAAGTCATGTGAGAGAGGGAATTTCAATTAAGAGAATACATTCATAATATGGGGCCATAGGCAAGTATGTAGGGCATTTTCTTACTGATTGATAGGGGAGGGCCCAGCCCATTGTGGGTGGTGGTCCTGGGTTCTATAAGAAAGCAGGTTGAGCAAACCACAGGGAGCAAGCTGGTAAGCAGAGCAGGTAGAAAGCAGCCTCTGCAACAGCTCCAGCCTCCAGGTTCCTGCCCTGTTTGAATGCCTGTCCTGAGTTATTTCAATGAGGGACTACGATATAAAAATATAAGCCAAGTAAACCCTTTCCTCCCCATGTTGCTTTGATCATGGTGCTTTTTTTGTCACAGCAATATAAACCCTGACTAGGACACCTACCTTTGACGGATGTCCTTGGGATGTTGGGAAGCTAGCTGGTCATGGAAGAACCAAGTTCCAGACTATTTCTTGCTGGCTCAGTGAACCTGCACAACAATCTCCCCACCCCATTCCTTTCTGCTATTCTGTAGGGAACTGGAGGTCATGAGGCAGTAAGCATAAGGGCAAAATTGCACACCTGCCTGTCCTTGCCCATGCTTGTTTGTTACTCTCGCTCATTTACAGATGATCTGGTTTATTTGTCCCTCCCTCAAATGTTAGCTTCTTAAGGGGAGGGTCCTTTTCAGTAACCCCCGGGGTTAATGCATTCGTGCCCAGCCCATTGAACCTTGAAGATAGGTTGCAAGAATAAAATCTCAGTGCCAGTCAATCAGAGTGGCGCAGCCTATAATCGCAGAGGCTGAGTCAGGAGGATAGCCTGGGGTGTGTATGTGCGGGCATACCTGTAATCTTAGCGTTCAGGAGGTGGAGGTAGGAAGATGAGAAGTTCAGGGTCATCCTTGGTTACACAGCGGGTTTGAGACCACCCTAGAATACATGAGCATCTGTCTAAAAAATAATTTAAAAAAGAAAATTAGTAATAGGGGTCTCTCTCGCAAGGCTGTGAAGATCGAATGAAAAAATAGGAAGCATTAGGCACCTGTCTGGTAGAATAGAACCAGAGTGGCAGCGTCATGAGCAAGATTTGATGGATCCAAATGTCTTACATATGTTAACCATGTGAATAATTACATTCCACCAAAGGAGAACTATTGTGCCATTTTACAGATCGTCAAAGGGTACAGGGTTTAAGAACTTATATATAGCCAGGACACACTGGCTGCTGGTTTATGCTTACTGTTCCTTTCAAGCTCCCTGTGGGCGAACCCTTAGAGAGGCCACAGGACCGGGAGTCAGGACTCACTCGCGCCCAGCCCAGGGCTGAAAGGGTTAGCGGGTGCGCGCGCGCGTTCCCCGGAGTATCCGCGGGCGCGCGCCCCGCTCCCAGGGACGCAGACTTGGCGGCGGGCTCTTCCTCGCCTCCTCATTGGCGCACACGCCCCTTCCTGTCACGGCCGGCCAGGCCCCGCCCCCTGGGCGCTGCCGGAGTGGACGGTTCCAGGGCATGCTAATGAGGGGCTGGCCGCCGCCGCCCATTGGCCGGCCGCGGAGTGTCGGTGAAGTCAGCTCGGAGTAGCAGAAAAACAGAGCGGGGCTGACTGCAGCGTGGAGCGCGAGCCGGGCAGGACGCGCGCAGCCCTCGCCGGAGACCCGCGAGGTAAGCGGGCGGCGGCTGCGCTCTCCGGAGGTGGCTCCCGGGCGGGCGCAGCGGGCCCCCGGAGCGGCGCCTTTGTTCCGCGCGCGCGGAGGAGGTGCTTTTAAAGGGCCAGCTGTTAGAGGGACCTGGGGGGGCCCCCTCCCCCAGAGCATCCCGGGTGGCCACCGGGGACCTCTGCCGAGCTGTGCCTTCAGGCTGCTCCGTGTGTCCCCCCCACCCTTCTTCATCCCTTCAAAGAAAGTTGCTAGGACGCAGGGAGCTTGGGGGATTCCAGATTTCTTTATGTCTTTTCGGTTTGGGTAGGTGGAGGTAAGTGCGATCATGGCCTCTGCTAGGAGGGAATGTCCGCCCGCTTCGGGCTGGCTGCAGTGTGGGTGGATGGAGACAGGAGATCGCGGGTGGGTTTGTGCTGGAAAGTGAAACTGCCGAGGGTCTCCTCCGCGGCGGCCAGAGGAGGAAGGAGGGAGCGAGCGGCGGGATGGAGGCATCTCAGGTGTGTTCATTCATCAGCGCCACCACTCCCCACCTCCCCCCGCGCCCCATCTCCAAAGCCGAGGGCGGCGGGATGGGCGCAAGGACTACGCTGCTGGCCTGTACCCGCCTGTACCCGCATGTAGTGGGTGTGTGTCCGGGGATAAGGTACTTCAACTCACCGCCCAGGCCCCTTCATCCTTCCAGTGGATGACAGTTTCTCTCTCGGAAGGCAGTCCATTGCCAAAGGGACAGAAGGCTACTCCATTCTCCTATTTCCCGGGCAGTCCTTCCCGGCTTTCCAGCGTGGTTTCCCTGATAAGCGGTAGTGACATTCAAGATAGAAGGAAAAAGAGGCTTAAAGTCATTATGGTCCTTTGAAGGGCGATGTGCTGTCGAATTCTGTATCCTGGTGCCTCTGCTTGTCGTACTACGGCTTTGAAATTCATCAGAGCATGCTTTTTTTTTTTCCCGGGCAGACAGAATTTATTATGCATTGCTACATAAAAGCAGAAGGGATTCCTCTGAGCGGGCTCATTTCATCCAGTCCGAGGGTTTTCCTGGCATGTTCTGGATGAGCCTTTAGATTTTTGTTTGAATCGCTGAGCTCTGGGATGCCCTTGCTGTCACCGGGCCAGCCTACTGAAATGGCTCAAATTGATTTCACTGACAGTAGGTGGGAGGTCCATCTAGAGACATCATAGAACCTGGCTGGCGTGTTAGGCCTCTGACTGCTTCTCCCCACCCTTCAGCCCCCCCCCCCCCATACTGGTGTGCCCCTTTCCTTCCTAGGTGAAGGCCAGGAGTGGCTTGTCTGACCACATGCTTCTTTGATTTTTGAATGCCTCTGTTTAGATTTGAGTGTGTGTTTTTGGTTGGAAAGATAGCTTGGTGGTTACTGAAGGGTGGATTAAAAGTGGGGTGGACAACAGAAGTGAACATCGGTGTCAATGACAGAAGACACACAGACACATGTTTGGAGATTTCTGTAGCTTCAGCCTTTGGGGAGTGAGATGTCTACAGAGTGAGGTGTGTGTGTGTGTGTGTGTGTGTGTGTGTGGTGTGTGTGACTGTGAGGGGGAGGGGTGGAGAAGGAAGATACTGCCAACAGTTTTCTGCCCCACCCTCCTGCTACTGCCTTAAACTTCATGCCAGCCCTACCCTGTGGTCTCCTTCTTGAGCCTGAGGGGAAAGGGTGGTCTTTTGGGCCACTCTTCCTCAGGTCATCTTTGGAGGTTAGGGAAGGGTTAGTTCTTAGGGGGGTGTCAAAGATGGTATATTTCTCAGCTTGAGACCTGTGATAACTGTCTGGTGACTTCTCTACAGGCAATTAGTAACTGAAATGAAGTACTTTTGACCCTGTGGGGTGAAGGACCACCTTCCTTATCTGTGGAATCCCCCGTTCCCTGCCCCCGGGGTTGTTGGCTTTGTCTTCCTCTTCCCTGCTTAATAGAGTTTCTGTAAACTTTTTGAAGAGATTGGGATTATTGGGATGGGGTTAGAATGATGGCAAAGAAGAAAAGAAAATTGCTTCTTCCTGGCAGAACAAAGACCCGTTCAGCTCTTCTTTTTCTTTTCTGAAATAGAGTGGGGCACAGATAGCAGAGTGTGGAAGGATAGGCCCAGAGAAGAGGGCTTTGTCTGTGTGGCACTGGTAATGACCTGGTCACCCCAGCTCTACTCTCTCTGGACTGTTCTCTGGCTGTGGAAGCAGAGAGCACCCACTGGCAACTTAGGATTTAACTGCTCTGTCATTGAAGGAGGAATGGATGACCCAAAGAAGAAGAAGACCGGGGGGGGGGGGGGGGTGGATTTGGTGGAAGAGCTTGGACCAGAACCGGCACAGCCAGCTTTGGCTCTGGCCAGCACCCTCTGGGTCTTGGATTTGTGCTTTATTCTGTGTTCTTGGGAAAGTGGGCGGCTTTAGAGCAATGACTTTCTAGGGTTCCCCATAGCACTACGTAATTTAAATTCACAAGTACATTTTGTGATGGCGATTTTAGATCCTTTCCTGTTTGGTGGTTGGATGTTAAATTCTCAGGATTTAGCAACAGGACTAAAAAAGCACTTTGAAGCTCGGGCCTCTGTTGGATTCAGACTACCTTTTTCTTGATTGGTACGATTCATGTGGTTTTAGAGTACATAAATAATTCAGAATGATCCCGAGTGAGAGACACAGGCCTCAGAGTGAGTTGGCGTATGGGGGAGGGTAGGATGGGACGACAGATTGCCCAGGAAAGGGCGTTTCTGTAATTCATTCTCTCCCCATCTATGTTTTATTTATGATTGCGCAGGTGAACATTTAAATGTTGGGAACATGAGGAGGGGACTCCCCCTATGATTGCTCCATTCAGCAGCATTCACTGAGGAGTGAGTGTTGGGAGGCTTGACCATTTGTCTGAGGTCACAGCTAGAAGATGCAGATGGGGATGTGAGTCTGGGTCTCATGCTGTGGAGGGAAACTCTCCCTTTTGTGAGAGGAGCCTAAGAAGGGAGGGAGAAGAGTGAGGAGGAGGAAACAAGAGATGAAGAAGAAAGCCTTAGCGGCAGCCTTTGGAGTCAAGAGTAGATCATTCCTGTGTCGTTGGAGTGGAGCATGAAGTAAGGAACAGAGCCCGTTTGATTAGCCGTGTGTGTGTGTGTGTGTGTATGTGTGTGTATATGTATGTATGTGTGTATGTGTATATATATATATATATATATGTGTGTGTGTGAGAGTGTGTGTATATGTATGTATGTGTGTGTATGGTACTGAGGAGGTGTTGAATACTGATCTCGCCTTAGACTCTCCCTGCTGACTCTCTGATTGTAGAATGAGTTTGAAGCTGCTTGGTTCAGAGCCTAGCAAGACCTTTAGCCAGAGTAGGCAGAACTTAAACACGCGGAGAGTCAGGTGTGCTGCTGGTGGTGCTGGGGAGAGCTGAACTTGGGTCCAATTCTGCTGAAATTCCAGTTTCTTTTTGATGTGTGTGTAGTTTTTATTTTCTTTCAGCACAAAACTAAAGTTTTCCAGGGGATGAATCTCTTTTTAATTCAGGCAGCATTTTTTCCTCTGACTTTCATACATTTTATGAGAGAGCATTTCGTGTACTGCCTTTTCAGAGGAGCGACTTGGAGACAACTGAGCTCCTGACTTGGGGCTCATCTTCGGGAGGTGGGGAGGCTCTGGCCTGCAACCTTCACTGTGCTAAGCATCATAGCGTTCTAGTGAACAATTAAAGGGCAGTGAGCAGTGGATAACCAGAGCATTAACCATTCAAAGGCAAGGATAAAAGATGGTAATACTTTGAAGTCTGTGGCCCAAGCCACCAGCCACGAGTAGCAGGTCTTCCCTTGGCCAGCTCTCAGGCCCTGGGAAATCTTCCTGTGGCCCCTTCAGTCGCTCCTGTTTCATTGTGAGGCCCTGCATCTTGTTGCTTTCCAGGCTTTTTTCCCCCCTGCATCTCCTTCCTCCATCCTTTTCCTTTTTTCCCCTTCCTGTTGTGTCCTTCTTCCTGCTCTCTCCCCTCATCCTCTTAGTAATATATCTTTGTAGTGTCATTTAATGTATTATTGTCTCATTAAAATTTCATGTTCTCTGTTCTTAATTTAAAAGCAGTTTAGTCTTTTGGAATGTATATGTATTTCACACACAAAACAAAAAGCAAACCTAATTAAACTGCTTTTTATTTCTGTGTGGCCTTCCATTGATTTTCCTCTCCCCCTTCTTGTCTGTGGTCAGTAGTGGCTCTTTCTAGAAAAAAAATTCCCCCAAGGTCTCTGTCATGTGGTTATTGTTTTAAAAACAAAGCTAGCTACAACAGTAGAAAAAGTTTCCACCCTTATATTGTGAACCACCAGGGACACCCTGTCCCAAGAGATGTATCCTGTTTCTTGACTTCCTTCAATGGCAGAATTATCATTAATGTGTTTAATAAGAAGGCTTAGACTGGATGGGTGCTGATGGTGGATATGAGTCTGGTAATGCTTAGGGGTAGGAAGCTGGCAGGCTACTGCCAAGAGAGTCCATCCAGGGAGAATTTAGTCTGATGGTTTCTTGTTTCCCAGGCTACACCAACCCTACTGGCTATAGCAGGATGCAGAACCCTTTAGAAAAAAATAAGATACTATCACCTTTCCCATGAATGTTGGGTTGAACTCAGGGGTATCCTGTGCCCACCTTGGGCAAAACCACACACCAGCAGGTTGCTGGTGGGAAATTCTAGATGTTGTGATAGAAGTGTGTTGGTGAGCTTCATAATGTTCTTCTGTAAGACTGAGTCTTTTAAACATTTCATTTATTTTATTATATGTGTATGTATCTATCTATGTGTGTGTCTGTGTGCATATATGTACATGTGTATGCAGATACCATTGGAGGCCAGGAGAGGGCGTCAGATCCCTGGAAGCTGGAGTTGTATGTAGTTGTGAGTCATATAACATGGGTTCTGGGAACTGAACTTAGGTCCTCTGCAAGACTGGGAAGCGCTCTTAACTACTGAGTCATTTCTCCAGCCTTAAAATTGAGTCTTAGGGCTTAGTCGTCAGGC